TCAACTAATCTTACCTGTAAAATCTACTATCAATCACACTGGTTGGTTCACGTAACTATCGAAACAAGAAATCAATCTTCAAAGGTCAATCTTCTATGGATATCGAAAAAACACATCAATCAATTTTTTAAAGCTTATCCGCAATGAAGTAAATCTCTATTATTTATGATATATATAATCATATTATCTCCTTTTATCTTGGTGCAACTATGTTGGCCCTTTTCTCTAGGCACAGATACCGTGTTCTCTAGGTTCGGAGGCCGTTTTCTCTAGGTTCGGAAGCCGTTCTCTCCAGCTCGGTGGCAGTTTTCCAAATTTTTGGGGTCCGTTTTCGCTGGGGTCCGTTTTCTCCATATCCCACTCAGAGTCAGGCACCTAATCGCCGCCGTACAAAGTCAGCGATCTAACCCACTCAGCCAGCGCAGACTCTGTTACCAATGTGAGACAACTGTCATTTATCTAAAACTGAATTAGATGTGTACACAGTTGTGTTTGTTGGTATAATTGGTGAAAGAAAAAATACGGAACATGATTATAATCACTTTTTAGATGCTCAAGTATCATTCTCCTGAGAGCAGCCTCATCAAGGTCACGCAAGCCTCAGGGGCCACGCAGAAATGCCCGAATGATGCATCGCGTGCATCATTAGTTTTCCAATCACAATAGTTTGAGTTCGTTGAGCAGAATTACACCCCTTTGTGTGCAAGGATGAAGTAATCTTTTGTTTCGAATTCCGTTTTCGCCCTCATACTGATTCTTTGTTCATCAAATCCATACTTGTGCTCTAGTGATTCAACAACATGGTGATCGGGGAGATCCAGGTTATAATTGATCTTCAGTAACCCATGCTTGTCGTAAGAGGCGCCTAACGGGATCGAGTGGTCAGGTTCGCTGATTTGGTTGACACTGGCCATCGTATCCCAATTGCGTAGAACGATGCTCATGCTGTTGATCACTTGATTGTCTGCTCCAGACTTGATTATTTAGAGATCGCCGCCATATAGCAGGAATATTGCTGAGTGTTGCGTACAACTAAACCCCCTCACTCACTCACTCACTCAACAACATGGTCAGTGATGGTATGGCTGAAGCGCTGTGGATGTGACTGCATTCAAACTCACTCACCAGAAAACATTTATGACCTCATCACTTCACGCGGTGATAAACCCAACTCACTCACTCACTCATCCACAAACCCACCCACTCACTGGCTCACTTACTCAATTACTAACTCACTCACTCACTCACTCACTCACTCACTGGATGGTCGAGGTTCGTCCCGAGATAGTCCGATGCTTATCATTGTACTAGATTACTAATAGACCTAATAGATTACTTGCCGCCCTAGAGCCTAATTCACGGTCTGTATCACTGGATTGTCTGTTCCTGGGTCGGCTACCTCTTAAACCCAGCTGTGTTAGAGTGTTACTGTCTACTGCTATATAAAAACAAATAAACAAACATCACAACAAGACGAAGTAACGGTTCAGCATGAATCCACGTCACTGGGAGTACGATAAATACAAATTCTGCCATTCCGCTGGAATCCCGCGTCAACATTATATCATGTTTGTCGTAGGCGATTCATGAAGATTAGGTTATTACTCTGAGTGTCTTGTCTGATTGCGACCCATTGCCTCCCGACGGCGTGCATCGTCGCCATCAGCCACTGGTCTCTCTGACCAGCGATTCCATTAAGTCAAGGCCCAAGACTGCAAACGTAATTGATATCAATTCCACAACAAGTATGGGTAGTTATGCGCATATGCATCGCAGAACACCCGCTGGGACTTTAATGCTGCTCCGAACACCTGCTGCCAGGCAATCATATGATTAAGTTACGGTCTGGACAATGTATCTGCTGGGATTGCTATTAGTGCGGTGTCCGGTCCTATGAACCACATCCGGTCACGATGCTAACTTTGTCCGGTGATTTTCAACTGGTCATGCTGCTGAAGTTTGACCTATCAGCCTCAGCGTGGTTGACGGTTGTTCTGTGAACCTCAACTGGCCATGTTGTTGAAGACTGACCAGTCAACCTCATCTAGTCATGTTGTTGAAGATTGACATATTAACCTCATCTGGCCATGTTGGTGACGGTTGTTCTGTGAACCTCATCTGGCCATGTTGGTGACGGTTGTTCTGTGAACCTCAACTGGACATGTTGTTGAAGACTGATCAGTGAACCTCATCTGGCCATGTTGTTGAAGATTGACCTATTAACCTCATTGTTCTGTGAACCTCAACTGGACATGTTGTTGAAGACTGACCAGTCAACCTCATCTAGTCATGTTGCTGAAGATTGACCTATGACGTCAACCTCATCTAGTTGTTCTGTGAACCTCATGACGGTTGTTCTGGCCATGTTGGTGACGGTTGTTCTGTGAACCTCAACTGACGACTGTTGTCAACCTTCTGATTGAACCTCATCTGGCCATGTTGGTGACGGTTGTTCTGTCAACCTCTGAACATGTTGGTGACGGTTGTTCTGTGAACCTCATCTGTTGCCATGTTGTTGAGACTGACCAGTCAACCTCGGTCATGTTGCTGAAGTGAACCTCATCTGGCCATGTTGGTGACGGTTGTTCTGTGAACCTCATCTGGCCATGTTGGTGACGGTTGTTCTGTGAACCTCATCTGGCCATGTTGGTGACGGTTGTTCTGTGAACCTCATCTGGCCATGTTGGTGACGGTTGTTCTGTGAACCTCATCTGGCCATGTTGTTGAAGACTGACCAGTCAACCTCATCTAGTCATGTTGCTGAAGATTGACCTATTAACCTCATCTGGCCATGTTGGTGACGGTTGTTCTGGCCATGTTGGTGACGGTTGTTCTGATTGACCTATTAACCTCATCTGGCCACGGTTGTTCTGGATTTGCTATTGTTCTGTGAACCTCATCTGGCCATGTTGGTGACGGTTGTTCTGTGAACCTCAACTGGACATGTTGTTGAAGACTGACCAGTCAACCTCATCTAGTCATGTTGCTGAAGATTGACCTATTAACCTCATCTGGCCATGTTGGTGACGGTTGTTCTGTGAACCTCATCTGGCCATGTTGGTGACGGTTGTTCTGTGAACCTCAACTGGACATGTTGGTGACGGTTGTTCTGTGAACCTCATCTGGCCATGTTGTTGAAGATTGACCAGTCAACCTCATCTAGTCATGTTGCTGAAGATTGACATATTAACCTCATCTGGCCATGTTGGTGACGGTTGTTCTGTGAACCTCAACTGGACATGTTGTTGAAGACTGACCAGTCAACCTCATCTGGCCATGTTGTTGAAGACTGACCAGTCAACCTCATCTGGCCATGTTGTTGAAGATTGACCAGTCAACCTCATCTAGTCATGTTGCTGAAGATTGACCATAAACGTCAGTTGGTCACGATGCTGAGTATAGTCCGGTGAACCAAAGCTAGTATATTGCTATCATTGCCCTATGAACCTCATTGTGTCATGTTTCTGACTGACTGAGTTTGGTTTTACGCCGCTTTTAGCAATATTCTAGCAACATCACGGCGGGGGACACCAGAAATGGGCTTCACACATTGTACTGACTGACTGACTGACTGACTGACTGACTGAGTTTGGTTTTACGCCGCTTTTAGCAATATTCTAGCAACATCACGACGGGGGACACCAGAAATGGGCTTCACACATTGTACCCATGTGGGGATTCGAACCCGGGTCTTCGGCGTGACGAACCAACGCTTTAACCACTAGGCTACCCCACCGCCCCGTCATGTTTCTGAAGAATGTCCCCACAAACCTGACGCCTCTAGATTAGCTCTGTAAATCAACATCAACGTAACCAATTCCATCCCGAGGTCTTTGACTATACATGTAACAGTAACCACGTAATACATCAATTGTATCTGACAACATGTTCATTCCTGATTAACAACAGATTTGCTACAGACCATGATTAAGACAAGGCTTAACGATCTAACCATCCTGATCCCTTCGTTCACTAGGAAGACGTCCTTGTTCCTTAATGTAATCGACATGTTCAGTGACCAAAAACATCTCGTCAACAGCCTTGATGTTTTGTCATTGCGGAAATCACATTCACAACTGGATCGATTCAAGGACCGAGCATGTCCCGGGGCCGTCTATTTAATCAACATCTCGTGCTGGTCTTTCACACACTTGTGTTCCACGAGACAGCTGCTTTGTCATATCAGCCGGACACTAAGTATCTGTTATGACGTCACTAGAACAGACGGTCATGAACTTACGTGTCAGAACAAATCCAATTACCGGGCACTTGAAAGTAAGTAGGTAAATACTCCAGACTACGAGAATTCCACTTGCAGAACCTCTCCTTGTGTTTGACATGTACCATATGCGTGAAATATTTTCAGTTTGGTCTATATGCGCTATGGATGACATTATGTTCAGTTGTGGTAATGGAATTTGGAGAGGGGAGCAAGTGGGGACTGAGGGGACTCGTAACTCTCATACCTTAACGCAGACTTACGAAAAACGTACGGCTAAGGTGACTTTAGTACAACAAAACCCTGGGATTCGTTCCTCAAAGCGATATTTAGGACTGAGACTGTCAATTTTAAATTTGTGTTAAAGAATGTGAATTGGGTTTATCTTAGCACTAAGATCCTTGAGCTGAGACTGTCAGTTTTAAGTCTGTGTTAAAGAATGGGAGTTAGGTTCATCTTAGTACTAAGATCCTTGAGCTGAGACTGTCAGTTTTAAGTCTGTTAAAGAATGGGAGTTAGGTTCATCTTAGTACTAAGATCCTTGAGCTGAGACTGTCAGTTTTAAGTCTGTTAAAGAATGGGAGTTAGGTTCATCTTAGTACTAAGATCCTTGAGTTGAGACTGTCAGTTTTAAGTCTGTTAAAGAATGGGAGACCACTGTGTGGAACGGTCCCCCATTTACAATTTCGTCGGATAATCGAGACGTTTTACATTGGGTGAATCTTGTCTGAACATCAATATACGTTGTATAATTGCTATAGTTCTATACTTATTTTTCCAGAAAGAGCGCCATGTAGACAACAGGAGAAAGATGGCAGCGAGGGTACACGGTCCTTTCCTCTTATGACGATGTTATCCCTATACGCCATCATTGCCGTCCCGTTTCTGATGGCAGTCATCGGCTCCCTGCTTCTGAGTCTCGCCGTCCGAATACATAGCTTCTTCCGGTCACGTGCCTACCTCCCAAAGCTCCACTACAGGGAATCTACGCTTACGCGACACCTACTCAGCAAGTGTCGTCTGCGAGAGAGGGTATTTTCGCCCTCGTTTTGGATACGCAATCCTCACGTGCAATCAGTTCTTGCAGCAATATGCCCTTCATTTGATGTCAATTTCGACAGGGAGTACTTGCAAATGAGAGACAAGGGAGTTGTCGCCCTTGATTGGGTTGTGAGTGTTCAGCCAAAGATCAAAAGGAAAAGGACTATTTTGCTAATCATTCCCTCTATAACAGGAAGTGCGCTAGGTGTTTCAGCACTGTGTTACGACGCCACGCAACGTGGATTCAAAGCTGTGGTATTCAACCGCAGGGGACACGGCGGAAGCGTACTAACAACAGCCAAACTACAAAGTTCCGGCGACCCTTCCGATTTACGGCAAGTCGTAAAATACATCAGGTTAAAATTCCCGCGGTGTAAGTTAGCAGCTGTGGGATACGGAACGGGGTGTGGTCTGCTGATTTCCTATCTAGGCGAGTTCGGATCCTCGGCTCTCATATCCGTGGGCGCATGCGTGTCTCCGTGTTACGATGCATGTGAACGATTCTCAATGTCGATGAGAAGTATGTATGACTACATGTTCCTGCTGTTCCTCAAGGTCATCCTGTGTCGCCACGCACGGGCCTTGTCAGGCACTGTGGACGTGAAACAGGCTCTCAAAGCCTGGACGTTTCATAAATACGAAGAGGATGTGTATTGTCGAATATATGGCTACGAGAGTATGGATGAGTTCTGGGAAAGGAATAATCCCATCCGTGATGTGGATGACATATCCGTGCCTGTGCTGTGTATTAACAGTTTAGACGATCCATTCTATGCCAAGAGTAATATACCTTATGATCTCTTTAAATATTATCCCAACTTTTTACTGGTGGCGACAGAGAAAGGAGGACATTGTGGATTCTTAGAAGGATTTCCTCCCAAATCATGGGCAGATAACCTGTGCCTGGATTACATAGAAGCTGTGTTTGAATTCACTACTAAGGGCTACGGCGTAAACAACCGTGGTGCCGTTCGGTCAACGATATGAGATTTTCAAGAGGTTAATGATCTTAGGGACCGTTCAGAATTTATGGCTAGGGGGGATGATGATGAGTTTAAGGGGGTCACCCATATTGTTCTGGGGAGCTAGAGGGGGTCAGCAAATTTGTACTCACGTAGGGGTGGGGGTGGGGGTGGGGCAATTTTATACATAAAAATATGTTTAAAATTATGCTTTGAAATTATGCTTTTGGGAGGGGGGTCATTGATTTTTGTACATGACATGCAGGGGGTCACTTATTTTGTACATAGATTTTAGGGGGAGGGGTCATTCACATTGTACATGCTTCTCCATAAAAATCATCACCCCCATAATAAGCCATAAATTATGAACGGTCCCTTATGTGGAGATTATCTGAATTTGTGGCAGTTTTTCTAAGCAAGGATGGGTAGTCTACTAGTTAAGCGTTTGTGCCACGTCGAAGGCCCGCGTTGGATTCTCAAACAAGTATAATTTGTGATATTCCTGAAATATTGTCCAAGGCGACATACGATATACTTACTCATTCGTTCGATATATGTCTCAATTACGGATTGACGCAACTGTGACTATTAATGTCTGTACCATGTTGATTTCAAGTTGGAAAAGTATAACCGTTATTTCGGTGACGTTTGGTAGACCTGTTCCAAGAAACAATGTTAATAAAAAGCAAAAATATTTTGATGTAATGATCAACACAGAATTTCAGTATATGTATGTGCCAATCCCTCCTTACAATATGACATCCAGTTCTAATTTTAAGGGGCTATATACAACGGTAGTCTTTCTACCTGATGGTCATGCTGTTGATCACTGGATTGTCTGATCCAGGCTCACATATTTACAGACCTCCGCCGTATAGCTGGAATGTTGCTGAGTGCGGCGTAAAACTTTACTCACTCACTCTCTACCTGAAGATGGTACGACATACCCGTGAAGGCCCGGGTTAGAACTGACGTTCAGCAACCAGTAAGCGACGACTAACGTGATCGGGTACTCAGGCTATGTGATTCGGTCAATGGATGTCATCTTGTCGTAATTGCCTAGATCGATGCTCATTATGTCAATCACTAGATTGTCTGGTCCAGACTCGATTATTTACAGACCGCCGCCATATACTTAGAATACTGCTGAGTGCGGCGTTGAAACACAAACAAACATTGCAATAACCTTATGCCATTTCCGTAGCTCCTATCTATACGCCCGGAGAGCGGAAGGTCGCGGGTTGGATCCCCGACCGCGTCATACCAAAAGACGTTAAAATATGGTACTTGTTGGTCCCTACCTGGCGCTCGGCATTAATGGGTACAACAAGGACTGGTCGGCTCGGAGTCAGTATAATGTGTCTGAGTGCGGCATGGTATCTCAGTGAGCTAGCACCATAAAACCAGCTTCAGTCTGTGCTAGTACAAGCAGCCACACATACACACGCATGCACATCGTCATTTGAGCGAAATAATCTTAAGTACGACGTTAAACCCAATTTCACCTCACCTCACTTCCTATCTATAATGCAGCACAGATTTCTCTGACTCATGAGAGGAATGTGACTGATGGCTATTTCAAGGACCGTTATGTTCCATTCGTGCTTTACACGAAGCTGTGACACCGAACGGGTTGTTTAAATGAATGACGGCTATCTGGACCAGACAATCCAATGATCAACCGCATTTACGCAGTTAGTACACGATGATACGTGTCAACCAAGTCACCTAGCCTGACCACCCGATCCCGTTAGCCGCCTCTTTCGACAAGCATGGGTTGCTGAAGACCAATTCTAACCCGGATCAAGAAAGTTTATCATAAAAGAATGAATAATGAAAACCCGATGACTCAGGATGGCATGGGTTTTAGGGGCGGATATAGAGAGGGGGGAGAAAAGAATTCCCTGAGGAACATTTCCCCCTAACCTTTGGACTTCATAATCTATGTGCACACCCCCATTCCCCCACCCAATGATCCTGGGCCTAGATTTTCGAAGCTCTCTTAGCGCTAAGATAGTCGTAAGTGCCATACGTTAACATTAACTTACGCCTATCTTAGCGCTTAGAGAGCTTCGAAAATCTAGGCCCTGGATCCGCCCGTGGGTTTATAGGTGTCTGTTATCGTGGAATAACGCTCGTGTATCGGATCGATTTGTTTTGTAAGCAAAATAATTGGATAGACGCCACGTTCTTGTTTTTGTAGTTTTGTTATAGTAACCCTGAAGCGTCTGTGCCGGAACGCAGTAACAGAGTAAGCAAGTTAAAACTGGCGTCAATGTGTCACCATAGTGGGTCAGGATAATGACAACAGATGGGTCACTGATAAAAGGGTAAGGTGATAATGGTCAGGCGGGTAACTTACTCAGTGTTCCCTTTCAGGTATAAGTAGCAATAACACAGTATCACATTTCCAGTACTTTTACCTGCCATTTTATCCAGTGTGGCCATAAATTCAATTTCTCCTTCCTCCCGTCAGCATTATAACCAAGGTTGGTTGGTTTGTTGTTTAACGCCGCACTCAGCAATTTTCCAGCTATATGGCGGTGGTCTGTGAATAATCGAGTCTGGACCAGACAATCCAGTGATCAACAGCATGACCATCGATTTACGCAGTTGGGATACGATAACATGTGATGACCAAGTCAGTGAGTCTGACCACTTCTACGACAAGTTGGGTTGCTGAAGACCAATTCTAATCTGGATTTATAACCAAGGACAGTAGTCCGATAAAGAAGCTTCTAGATGAGGATATCAACGTGATGTTTTTGTCAATAAGACAGGAAACACGTATTGTTAAGGGAGAATGTGGGTCATTTCAGAGGAGGGTATTCTGGACATTCTGTTGGAACAAGAAGTTGCTATTTTGTTGATTCTATGTGTAATATTTATGACGATACATTTTGAGACGATTCATGTCATGCTCATTGGTCGCATTCACTGATGTGTACGTAATAAACACCCTGTCATGAAGTCTTTGAGTCGTGTATCGTGTTTACGATCAGTCTGGCATAGTCTGTTTGAACCAAACTTACAGCACCAAAGTGAATAGTGTTTGACTCCACAACACTATAGGAGTGAATAGCTCTCTGTTTGAATCCATAACACTACAGGAGTGAATAGTTCTCTGACTGCACAACACTACAGAAGTGAATAGTTCTCTGTTTGACACCATAACACTACAGGAGTGAATAGCTCTCTGTTTGACACCATAACACTACAAGAGTGAATAGTTCTCTGTTTGATTCGACAACACAACAGAAGTGAATAGTTCTCTGTTTGACTCCATAACACTATAGGAGTGAATAGTTCTCTGTTTGACTCCATAACACTACAGGAGTGAATATCTCTCTGTTTGACTCAACACTACAGGAGTGAATAGTTCTCTGTTTGACTCCATAACACTACAGGAGTGAATAGTTCTCTGTTTGACTCCATAACACTACAGGAGTGAATAGCTCTCTGTTTGACTCGATAACACTATAGGAGTGAATAGTTTAACTTATTCAACTGAAAAACAAGACAACAGCAAAAGGTTCCCTGTTTGACTCTCAATCATACAGCCAACGATATTTTCTGTTTTAATCTCCAACATAACAGCCGTGGTTTGACCAACAACCATAAACTGGGATCGCTGTGTTTAACTCCCCAAACAATGCCCACAATACTTACCTGAGCACAATACACCACAATTACCTGAGCACATCACACTATACAGTTGCTAGTGAATGTTTTCATCGCTACATAGAGACAGACCACCAGCTGCTGCTTGCCGGGTCATGCATAGCCTGAATGCGTGACATCCAGCAGATATCAATATGTGCATTGATCAATATGTCGGTAGACAACAAGCTGTGTGCTCGTGGATACTGTCTGCCACATACCTAACCTTCCCCGCATACCGCAGACATCCTGCATTCCGACCATCACACACCTTCAGAGGCAGAACAGTAGGAGATTGAACTGGGAGATCCTATACTCAATGACACCCCGTCCTAGCATCTTTGATACATCTGCCATCTTCATGTCTATGATATACACTCTTGTCCTAGCATTCATGATATATACTCCTGTCCTAGCATCTATGATATATATACTCTTATCCTAGCATCGATGATATATATACTCTTATCCTAGCATCGATGATATATACTCTTGTTCTATTGAGTGAGTGACTGAGTGAGTGTCAACCAAGCAAGCGAGCCTGGCCACCCGATCCCGTTAGTCGCCTCTTACGACAAGCATGGGTTACTGAAGATCAATTCTAACCTGGACCTTCACGGGTCTCTTGTTCTAGCACCTCTGATATATACTCTTGTCCTAGCATTCATGATATATACTCCTGTCCTAGCATCTATGATATATATTCTCCTATCCTAGCATCGATGATATATACTCTTGTTCTAGTGAGTGAGTGAGTGAGTGTCTACCAAGCCAGCGAGCCTGGCCACCCGATCCCGTTAGTCGCCTCTTACGACAAGCATGGGTTACTAAAGATTAATTCTAACCCGGACCTTCACGGGTCTCTTGTTCTAGCACCTCTGATATATACTCTTGTCCAACCATCTGTGATATACACTTTTGTCCTAGCACCTCTGATATATACTCCTATCCTAGCCCCTCTGATATACACTCTTTTGTAGTAACATCGATGATGTATACACTTGTCCTAACACCGATGATATATACTCCTGTCCTAGCATCTATGATATATTCTTGTCCTAGCTGTGCACTGACCACCACTGTCCATCTCATATGTCCTAGTTCGTGTTTCAAAAATCAGTTGAACGTATACACGGCATCCAAAATCGCCATATGATGATATTCGTTTCCACCATAACGTGATCAATGGTATTATTACTGAAACATTACATATTGGATAACTGAAAATAGCGTCAACAATGAGACGTAACAGGCAACTGAAGACTGACTTTACGGAACCTGGTTATAGACCCATCAAACAACCTACTTACGGATGCCTAATTGGTGCAAATTACACCTGTTATAGAATGGTGGAAATCAACCCAGGCTTATAATCTTTACGAGGTATCTATCATATCTTGGGATACGGAAGCATTGCATACCTGGCTGGCGGGCGGTCGGG